CCCCAAAACCCCAAAACCCCAAAACCCCAAAACCCCGAATAGGCACTCAAAATTGAAATTATCTGTTGGCTAAATAACTGAATTATTTCTTCGCTAAAGAGAATAAGATTCCAAAGAATACCTTGATTTTGACCTGCTTAGTCGTTGATCTGATGTATTTCCTGAAAAACAGCCTCTTCCTTTCACTAGATGTTTGATGGGGTAGACCTACCTCTCTGTGAGCTCGATCTTGAACTTCTCATCTTGGCTGCTAGACCGCTTAGGAACAGCATTTTCATCAGGAATAAGCTTGAACTTGGCTTTTCTATTTTTTAACTTTTTAGAAAGCGTAGGAGAAGGTGCTTCTATCTTTAAAATCTTCTCTATTGGAGTGTCAATACGAATAAGGACCTGCACTCCTGTCTGCTCTGTTATCTCAGATAGCGAAAGTCAAGAAAATTTCGAATTTGGATACCTAACTTTCAGCAAATCTATATACAAGTTGTAAATAGAATTCACCGGCAATCAGAAGAAGCTTACCACAAGAGATGTTATTGGAATGCTTATGAATAGTGGATCAAAACTTAACATCATTAGCTAATCTCTTAATCCCCTCATTATAATCATGCTTCTTGAGCTCACCAAATACAAAGTGATGCTCTCTCTCCTTCTTATACAGATTGGCTTCGTTCAGGTACCTAATATAGCTATTTATTTCTCTTCACATTTGCCTTCGCCTGCTCTTTTGTGATAAAACTGGCATTTCTCAGGATCTGACTTGAAGAAGTACTGCATGCAGAGCCGCTCATAGGACTTAACCTCATATTTATAGTTATCGTACTTCCAGCTGTACTGGAGAAGCTTCTTGAAGGCAAAGATTGCTAAAAGTAAGAACTTGTGAGGCATACCTTGGTCATATTTCTTAATTGCCTGATAGGCTTCGCCTATCCGTAATAAGGAGTACAGCAAGCACTCAGAATCCTTAGTCGTCTTGCACATGTTCCTTAGAGGCTCGTAGAATTTTATTGAGTCAGAGTATCGATTCACTTTAAAGCAGAGCTTGCCTGCTTTATTTATAATACTCTTTTAATAGAGCATAATCTGGGATTCTCAAGCAGACTTGGATAATGTTCTTAGCTATCTCAATTGCCTCGTTGTACTGCTTTGCAGCTGGAAGTGAAGAAAAGTCTTACCATAAAACTCTTCAAAGCTAGGTTATTAAGGCGACGAACTTACCTTGAAATGTAATTCTTGATAGAGTTATTTGATCACTGCAACATTATTCTTGATAGTCTGGTTAAACTGTTTAGAATTAAAATTAAAGAATTTTATCCTTGACTTCCCAGAGTCTTTTGAAGCAACAGAACTAGGAGTAACTGACAACAATGAAACTGTTCTCTTCAGAATTCTCTTCCTTCTTGTTTCCTCATCTTCTACCGGTGGCTGATTAGGCATTGTGGCTGTATTAGGTAGGGCAACTCTTGGTTCAGACCTATTAAACGGTAAAAAATAGCTCTAAAAGGTTTGGGCATATCTATGACACCCTTCTGCCTTAAATACTTAAATCTCACCTATCAGATTCCCCTTTGGGCCCTCTGCTACTCCTAAACCAAACATCAGCCTCATTTACTTACGGATGGAAGCCACTTCTTGCTGCTGTCTTGCTCTGGCTGCTCGTTCTCGCAGTCAAAAGCTCATCCTTCCTCTTTTGAATGTACTTAAGGCCTTTGGCTTTACCAGAAGGATCATTCGATATGTATTTCCCAGTAATAGTTCTAAAACGGGTAATAAGGCAATGGAGCAGAGGAAAATTTATTTCTGATAGGAAATCTTGATCCCAAGATAGGCTCTGGTGCTTACGAGAGGATTTAAATGCTCTTTTGTGAAAATATTATAAGCTGAATGAGATAAAATTGCTCAAATGGCAAATCTAATAAATTAGAATGTTGTATGAGGATGCTTTCAAGCTGCTGAGATTTTAACGTAAAGTATTATAATAATTTGAGATGATAATTGCACCTCATTATTTTCAATCTCTCAGATTAGAAGTCATTTATGTTTTCCATTTTGTACAGATTTATAATTTCACCTTGCAATTCATGCTTTAACCAAAAATTTAGGCATCTAATCAACTAAACTCTTCTATCTTATTATCCGTTAGCAAGTCTAGTTCTTAGAACCTTACTCTTCTACATTCTCAGGACATGTTATAATATATGTGAAATAAAGACTCAGCTTTTCCATCCAGTAGCCTGATACCTCTCTCATTCTTATTTTTACAAATTTTTAAAGTGGGTTTTTCAACCTTGTTCATATATTTTGCCAGATTAGCCTAAAATCATGGACCTAGCTACGGCTAAACTAAAAAATTCACCGAGAAAGCCTAGCATCGGGGAAAACTTACTGTCTCTTGCTTTTGGCATTTGGAATTTGGGGACTCTCGAAGTTCTTCGTGTTTTTGACCTTCATCCTTTTAACAAAGAGCTGAGAGGTATTCTGAGGGCCTCCTATCGAAGCTTTGGGCAATTCATCTGAAATAATACCTTCAAATCCTTTCTTAAGCTTGGCTGAACTCTACAAACAGTTAGATGTAAGTACTGGTGATAGGGATGCTGAGAAGTTACCTTTACAGATGCGGGATTTGGCATCGTCTTGTTCTTTTCCAGTAAAATTTCCCTAAAAGACTTCATATTACTTATATTTCTATTATATTTAAACTCACTGGGGTTTTGGGGTTTTGGGGTTTTGGGGTTTTGGGG